AATCGCACATCCATAATGTTTGTATGTTGGTAGCTTGTAAATAACGTTAACGTAAAAGTCGAAACAACCTAGACTAGAAGTCAATTCACCAGTCCAGCCAGCTATGGCTCCCTAAGTTGCTTATATTTAATCAGATACTATTTCGTCATCATGCTTTGTTACCTTACTTGTTTATACCTCATGAGGGCGTTTTTTTATGACAAGATGGCGCAAACGGAAGTCCTTCGCAGGTTTATGGTTTCTCATATTTAAATCATCATAACTCTGAAGATAATCATTTTTTTAAATTTTGTTTTTCAAATTTATAATCAATATACATAACTTGATAAATACAAACACCAAAATAGGCTCTATTTAGTTCCCCTTTAATGTAATCAATAAGACAGACTTGGCTTTGTAACCATAGACACACACCTGTTAATTACGTAAGCGTATAAGGTACTAATATGAGGATATTACGAGGATACTATCTGAGTGCATACTTTGAGGTGTTCTCGTAATAACATTATTATTATACATCTTTTCATTCCAAGGATACATTGCGGGAATGCCGAAATTCAAAATGTTTAGAACAGAAACTTCTTTGTGTTGAGTCCGGTCAAACCCTGGTGGCAGCCATGTTTGTTTTTATTATTAGAGGACGCTTACGTGCGTAATCATTCCATATTTGGAATTCACATTTCCTTATATGGTAGGATGAAAATACCCTGTAAAATACAGCAAAATTACGGCACGCTGTAACTTATGGCGTAACGATGACAGATGTATAATAATAGAAATTATAACAGTCCATACAAGAGTGCATAAAGAGTCAGTTATTTGTGAATATGTGCCAGGCTGAATCACAATAAAATAAAGACAAACCTTATTAAAGGAGGCTGGTGCCATCTCATCTCCCACATAAAACATAGGAGGGGGAGATTCCGACATTGTAATGCTACATGTACCGGGGTAAGTCTAACTGTGAGTTCTTTTGCATCAGAAACAGCTACTTAATCTTCATGACATTTAATTTTCACTCCTGTAAATAAAATACATGCTTTAAAAATGTCATATATTTTGAAAAATGAAAAATACTGAAGTTAGGCTAACATGCACATGAAGCCGATACAACTATTACTAAGCAATAAACAGCATTGGCTGTTTTAGCATTTTACAAAAAGTATAATCGCAGGCTCAATTTTTTCTTGGAAGCTTGCTTGGCTACCAACAAATAAATGTGCCTTTTGCCATTTGCTCATGGATAATTCAACATAACCATGTAATAATAATGTTGTTAAACTGTAGTTATTACTGTGGGTTAGAACCCTATGCTCGGCCAACTTTTTCAATAGTTGAGTAAGAACTCTATCTCGTCATCAACTCCAGATGGTGCACCTTGCCTACAGCTGCACACAGTCCTAGCTATTGTATTAGCTAGGGTACAAGGTTTGATTAACAATAGCTGTTCACAAGATATGTACAGTTATGTAGCTTATACACACTGCATATGAATACAAGTGTTGTCAGTTTACAATTAGCATAAACACAATGCATTTACAGAAATCCAAGTAGTGGTTGAACAATGGGTAACGCAACCAAAAATGGTAGAAAGGCAATTCCCTTGACGGAGACACAGGGCTCTGACTTCACGAAAGTATCAAAGAAACCTGCCTAGGTGTCCTTAGAAAAATACAGATTTTCTCAATACTACTTCTACATGCCAAAACAATTTTATGAAATTATACCTTTAAAATGTACAAATTTTATGAAAATAACAATGTTGTTTACATATGTTATATAAATTGCATGGGAGCCTATATCAAACACGATGTGGTGCTTTGATTTGTACAATTATGATCAATGATGCAATCATGATTACAGTTTACAAGGACTTATAGAATGAGCGGCATGAGTGTATGAGATCTCACAACAATTACAAAATCTCATAAGAATTGCGGAAGTATCACAAAATTGTACATACATTTCTACATTGTAGAAATAATAATGCGAATGATTATGTGGAAAAACTGGTTCATGTTCATGTCAGATCGTCAGTGTCATTGCTTATTCACTAAGTGATACATGCATTTTGTGTTTAC